CCAAGTCCACAAATTTCTACTTTGATCTGCAATTTTTAAATTCAATTTATGTATTTCAAAATTTAGATTAATTTGATGAATAGTGGAATTAATATTCAGATTAGATGAATTTGGACAAAAAATTGAGGCACAAATTTAAGCGATCCGGAAAATATTGAGCTGAAATTAAAATGTTTGAATGAGGAATTGAGCATATGATGATACAATTGAAAAAAAAAATTAATATCACAGTTGTACGGTAATTCCAATCAATTTTTATAAGGGGAATAAAATGTCACAATTAATGATGCAATTGAAGGCAATTTGAGCACAAGAGTACACTGATGGATTAAAGTTTGACATAAATAATCTCAGAAAGAAAAGTAGAGCAACTCCATTTTCCACATTCGTAATCCAAATAAGATAATTTTTATCTTCCATGCTTAATAATTGAATAAATAATTAAATTTGACCCAGATTTCTTCTACGGTATGTATTCCTGCAGTAGGATTACATCGTCGTCGTCTTCCTCAGTTGGCCCTCCGGCAGTTAAGTCTGATCTCCCCAGCTGACCCTGTCAAGGGGCCGATGTTGCCCATCTTCACCATGGCCGCCGCGAAGTCCCTGTTAAAGGCCCCGCCGTTGGAGCTGTAGAGCCGCACAAGGTTGTCCGCCGGCCCGCCGTTGAAGAGCTCCTGGTCGGAGTGCAGCAGCCCCCTCCGGGCCATCAGGTCCCGGTAGTAGCTGACGTCGAAGCGGTTGGGGCTCGTGGGGTCGAGCGGGGAGAGGTTGGAGTCGCCGCCTGACGCCGGGCAGATCCGCCGCCTGAACATCGCGAACCCGGGGTCGACGTTGGCGTCGCGGTAGACGTGGGGCCGGAAGCTGCTGCACCTCGCTGCACCGACGGTGTGCGCGCCGGAGAGCGCCGTCAGGTCCCGCAGGCTGAGGCCCTTGGAGGCGAACCTAGCGACGAGGTTGCCGATGCTGTCGGAGGCCGGCGGGAGGTTGGCGTTCGCCGCGGCCATGCTCGCGGTCCTCGCGTCTCGACGGCCCAGCGGCACCGTCCACGACGGCCCTCCGAGCTGCATGGCGGCCAACGCGCGTCAGTTTTACGTGGCTATCGATGGCGACGCATCGAAGGAGGAGAAGGTTAGGGGCTCACCAGGGTGACTGCGTCGCGGGCAGCGAGGGCGAGGATGTCGGCGCAGGACACCGTCGACCGGCACGCCGCCTCCACCCGGGATTTGATGGCGTCGATGACCTCGTATCCGCGGAGGGAGTTCGCGTTGCCCATGGCGTTCTTCTCGCCGATCATCGTCGGCGTGTCATCCAGAAGGACGGATGCATCGCAGCCCTGAGGAGGAGTAATAACAAGAAGAAGAATGGATTGAGATTACACGGTCAAAGTCAACTAAGGGTCAAAGTTGATGGTGAAGAGGACCCAATTGAAGGATGGTAGTACATTTGGTATATTAATATAATGTAAGACCAGATACTTCTTTTCTAGGACTCTCATAGGGGTCCCAAAGTAATATCCCTCACTTTTATTTTTTTGGGAGACAAAGAAAGGCTCGAGGCCACAATAAAGAACCTTATCCATACAGTCACAATAACCCATGTAATTAAGACAAAATTGAGTGGTTTAATTATAATCCAATCAACTTTTAGATGTATAATAATTGATAATTATAGAGCTATCATCGAATGGCTTGCGTGCCTTAAAAACACATGTACTATAATTTTCTAATAAAAAAAATATAATTTCCATGTCATATAAAGACAGAAATCATATCTTTCAAATTTAATTGATCCACAATATCCGTGGAAAATAGGGATGATAATTTATATGATTAAACACAGAAATCATATATGTAAAATTTAATTAATTCAATATTCCTCGAAAAATAATGCATGATAATTTATCTGAAATCATGGTGTAGTTACTTTTCTAATAAAAAACTCTAATTCTCAGGTACTTTAAAGAAAAAAATTGCAGATGTCAAGTAGAATTAATTCAATAATTCTTTATATGAAATAATGGCATGGTTATTTTTCTGATTAAAAACTATAATTCCATCAAATTTAATTAATTCACAAACTCCTTGAAAAATAGCACAAGATATATTTTAATTTATATTCATGCAAAATGCATATAGGGACTTATTTTTTGAGATATGTTGTATTTTAGGTGACTTAAATTCATAATTTCACCGTTGAATCCACAAAGTTATTTCTTTCTTCTTCTTTTTTCGTTTTGCAAGATTAAGTGGCAAAGACCAAAATCAATCCCACCATCTTACTATCCACAGTCAAAATTCTTATCAATTAAGTTAATCATGTATCCAATCATATATATATATATATATATATATATATATATGTGTGTGTGTGTGTGTGTGTGTGTGTGTGTGTGTGTGATTGGATAAAAGCTTGAGTTGTTACATCAAAGCCGCATGCAGTTGAATGCTTCAATGCATGTGAAGAGTAATGGCAAGAGGAGAATGGAGATGGTAGCGGCTTACGTTGACGAAGCAGTCATGGAAGAAGAGGCGGAGGATGGAGGCGCCCATGCGGGGGTCCCGGCCGACGGCCTGCGTCATCACCGACCTTATCACGCCCTGCAAGTTGGGGCACGTCGTCGCGTAGAACGCCGGCGACAGCTGCGCCTGCGCTCCGCCGCTGGACACCACCACCCACACCACCGCCGCCACGAGGAGGAAGCCATTGCAGACCGAGCCCATGGCCGAAGAAATTAGAAAGGCAACAATGGCCTCTAGCTTTCCTTCCACCAGCATATATATAGACTGGAGATGCTGCTACGCCTGCACATGGTTACAGCTAGCTCAAAACTGGAAGGAGTTGCGGCCATGGCGGTCTCCATCGTTCTCGTGTGCACTGGACAGCAATGAGAGGAGTGTCGGGGAGTGCCATCCCGCTGCATCCTTTTGCGGCGGGGCGGCTTAGTACATTCGCTTTAAGATTCGAACTCTCGATCAATGATGAGGAGTGTCCCCTTCCCGCAGCCTCGAGATTCGGACCCACGATCGCTAGTGATCACTAGGATGTCCCTGCGGAACATGATTAGTTGGTGACGGGTGGGGTGGCGATTGGTACAGCGAGACGACCGTTGTCGCTTGCGGGTGCGGTAGGTGCGACGAAGCTGTCATCACAGCTTCCTTCACAACGTTTATCTTAAGCTGTTCCCCAAACAAACAAAAGGGTGAGGGGAGTGGAGGCGGCCCACTTGGGAGTCCCGTGATTGCTGATAAGGTCGGAATCTAATCGATTTAATTTAATCGATTAATTTGAATGGAATGCTGCATCAATATAAGTGCAGTACTCGATAATTCTTTAGATTGATGTGATAAGTGATCATCTAATCAAAATCCTTGTTAGAGCCTCTGGTTAAGGTTCAGAATCACTCTCATTCTCTAGTAGGCTTATAGTGTTTTTCAAAATTAATATACTTGGTTATTCTTATTTCTAAGCTAAGAATGATAATTATTTGAAATCATATGAGTTAGTTTTACTGAGTTTTGAGTCAATTTGAGTACATTATAATGCTTTAGTGGAGGTTAAAAAAAATATATACTATACAATATGAATCGGGATTAGACTAATTCGCCTTATTGATCGATCCATAAAATATAATAAATAGAGATACTGTTTTAAAAAAAAAATAAAAAAAACTAATTAAATGAGTGATTTTTCTTGGGAATTACAAAAGCCCAAAGGAATTAACCATATGATAAATAGTTTAAGATTTAGAGATGTTAGTTTAGGTTCATGAAATATGTAACATGGCATGTCTGTCATTGGGCCACATGTATGGCGTCTTTAGTTATAATGGAGGCTTGCTACCACTAGCAACCAAACGGAGCTTTGGGTTCTAAATGGGACAATTTAGAGTGGCTGGAAGAGTCCAATTTATTGGGAAGGGACAAATATTTTTTCTTATTTATTTATTTATTGCTTGATTGCATGTGCAAATCAAAGTGACAAATAATTTTATTACTTTTTATTTTATTAGTTAATTGCTTGCATGTGCAAATAAAAAAAAAAACAAAGACATCGAAAAAGCAAAATAATAGAAAACATTGATTCTAATGGTTACAGTTGACCTGCACAGACTCATTAGGTTATCAAAGTGGTTTCATGATGTGTGTGTGTGTGTGTGATTATACTAACCTAAGTTACATTTTTCTTAGGAGGGCTTTTATGTATTCGTCCTTGTAGATTTTGAAAAATTATATGTGTCTTATATATTATGATACCATCTAAATTTTATTAATATAAATCGGATCGTGTCTCATCTATTGTCTAAAGGTTGTAAATAAAACAACAATAATAAAAATTTAAGGTATCTAGCAAAGATAAGGATCCTATATTTAAAATATGTATTAAGATATCCACCTAACGTTTATAAGAGAAAATTGTGTTTACCATGTCCGATTACTTTAAATACCTTTAAATTAGTATGATACGATCATACGTAATTTTTCACTCGGTAGGTGTAGATCGTATCTCATGCGTTTGAGTCGAAGTATCTTAAATTTTCTATCAAATTGCATTTGAAAGCATCTATAAATTGTATTTTTTTTTTCTTTTAATGTGTGGTCTAACGTATATTCTTAAAATTCTCCTGCTTCAAACCTAAGATATGGAATTTAAATCTAACACATGGAACTTATTAGAGATATATATATTTTTTCTTTTAATGCACGGTCTAACCAAGAAGATTCGACTACAGAAGTTCTTAATCTGACATCATTTAAAGTTTTCTTCATCACTATCATTTCATCGAAAAGTAGACTTCACAAAATAGGGAAGCGAGAAGCTCAAGGTCAACCAGCAGTGTAAACGTAGATGATGACCGTCTCTTTTGGCCCAAACAAAGAGAGAGAAAACTCTGTCAAGAAGCCATTGGAGAGTGGGGAGCCACTGTAGAGAGATAGAAAAGGAAACGCGGTCTTACACTAAATGCACAAACGCTGTGTTATTTCAGAAAGTTCGAGGTTGGGAACAAGGAAAGTATGGAAACCGAGTGCTTCCTTATGCATGAAAATGGAGTGGACAGCTTGCAACAGAAGCATCCCATCTCTCTCTCTCTCTCTCTCGCTGCTTTCTTTGGCCCCTTCAGCTTCCGCGGACATCTATCTTTGGCGACATCTTCTCATCAATCACTCCACCTCTCATGGCTTTTACTTTGATCGCCTGGGTTAAGACAACTCGTTGTAGACGATGCTGCACTTTTCTCATCAGTTGATCTTTGCGCGTGCTAACTCTCTCTCTCTCTCTCTCTCTCCAGAGGCAACTGTGATGACCAAAGTATGAAGTAGTGCAGTCTAACTACATTCCAAGGTCTGAGTAGAGAGAGAATGCAAGCTGTCCACGGCTAGGCTTTCCGGTTTTATTGCAAGTTTACTTCAATCAAATGTGCAAATGACCGGGAAGCACTGGACCGCGGTTCAGTTCGGACCCGTAAGAACCGGTCAAACCCGAAATCGGAATGATTTCCTGATTTCGAGCCGAACCGGAGCCGATCACGACCTATCAGTCTTTTACAAGGGTGATGAACAATTTGGTCCTGGTAAACTGATTAGTCTACTAAATTTGCACATTCTTGGTTAATTTTACTTCACAGAGGGTGATATGAACGAAAATACAGTAGCAGTAGTTGAATCCCATCCAAGTTATATTCATGCCTTCAATGTCGACACTACAACGACGAACAAATCTAGACGCTGAACGATTAGATCATAGTTAAGCAAGGTATCTGTGCATGTCACGGAAAGCCTTATTGCATGTTACGACGGAAATCGCTGTCTTCAGTTCACCTCGCTGCAGTTCAATCGAACCTCGCCGCTCGATCCGGTGAGCGGCGAGATGTTACCCATCTTCACCATTGCCGCGGCAAAATGCTCGAAGAAGAGCGTCTCGTTGAGAACGTAATAGCTCACCAGTTCATCTTGTGAACCTCCATTGAAGAGCTCCTGGTCCGAGTGGAGGAGGCCGCGACCAGAGAGAAGGTTTTCGTAGTACTTGTTGTCAAAAAGGTCGGGAGTTTGGAGGTCCAGAGGAGCCGGGTTATCGTCGCCACCCTTCGGAGGGCAACTCTGCCTGAGGAGAGCCGCGAAGTCGGGGTCGATGTTGGCGTCATGGTAGATGCGGTCGCGAAAGCTGGGACACCGGGCGATGCCGATGGTGTGCGCCCCGGAGAGAGCAGTCATGTCCTGCGCACTGAAGCCCTTGTGATCGAACGACGAGGTGAGGTTGGAAAGGTCGACGAATGGCGACGGGAGGTCTCTGGTGGCCGTCTCGTTCGCGGTCCTCGCATCCCTGCGGCCTAGCAGCACCTGCCAACTCGGTCCTCCGAGCTGCACCACACAGGAGCATTCGTATCAGCACGGAGTACGTACATGGCGTTCGCGATCGATCGATACCGACCAAAGCCACCGCGTCTCGTGCTGCCAGGGCCAAGATGTCGGCGCAGGACACCGTCGCTCTGCACGCGGCTTCGACCTGGGATTTGATGGCAGCTATGACGTCGAATCCACGCACGGAGTCTTTGTTCGGCGGCGCGTTCCTCTCGCCACCAACGAGAAGAATCGACGCGTCGCAGCCCTGAGCACAACCAGCACACGAGCACACATAACACAGGAGCCAAAATGAACGAAAGGGTGAAGAAATAGAGTCACACGTACGTTGACGAAGCAGTCGTGGAAGAAGAGCCTGAGGATGGAAGCGCCCGTCCTCCGCTTGCTGCTCACGGCCTGGGACATGGCCGATCGCACAATGCTCTGCAAGCTCGGGCATGTGTCGTCGTAGAACGACGCCGACAGCTTCCCGGTGGCAGCGCAAGCAAGCAGAGAGAGGAGAGAGAGGGCAAGGAAGCTCCTGGTGAAGAAGGCCATGGCCGTGAGCTGGGATGGCAGGAGAGACCAGACATGCCTTCGTATTTATAGCTACTGTTCCTCACCAACCTGCTTTGTGACAGTTTAAGCCATTATAATCACCTGAAGACATTGCTCAGCATTAAATATGTAATCATAATTACATGAATAAAGTAAGTAGATTTGGTAGCAACGTTATAATGTTTCCTTGATATGAAAGAAAAAAAGAAAGGTAATGCAACGGTTCCATTTTGGACTTTGGCCTACCACACAATTGATCAGTGTTTCTGTCCAAGTCGAGGAAGAGTTTGATGTCATTTTCTTTGTATTGTGTTCGACTCTTATTCCTCGTATTGCAAGAAAGGGTTTGATCAGTCTAATTGATCGTTTTACATCTTTTCTGACATCAAATCAACCTAAGCATAATAGTGGTAGAACGAAGAATGAAATCGTAAAGGCAAAGAAAAAGAAAAACGTAATTCAATTAGTATATATGGTGTCTATTTATACATAGTGAATGAGAGGATTTTACTCAATTGGGCATCGAGATTTCTTCGTGCAGTTGGAAAAATCTCATCTGCTATACAGTTGAGGAAATCTCTCTGTTATCATGCCCCTGCAAGATTTAACTCCTATCAAGGATATCGATCTCGGACCGATGCAACAAAAATAGTTTACGGCTTAGAGGCTTCGTGAATGAATCTACTAGTTGATCAGCCGTATGTACATGAGAGACACGAAGTTGATATCTGACAATTTGATCTCGCACGAAGTGAAAGTCGATGGCAATGTGTTTCATACGTGAGTGGAACACTGGATTGACACATAAGTAGGTAGCGCCAACATTGTCACAATATATTGTAGGAGTAAGGGTAGAGCTAACGTTGAATTCTTTGAGGAGATTTGTAACCCAATTGAATTCAGTAGCAATGGTAGCGGTGGCACGATATTCAGTTTCTTGTAGACCGGGCGATTATCTTTTGCTTCTTAGAACTCCAACTAATTAGATTAGACCCAAGAAAGACAACATACCATGACATAGAGGTTCTATCATCAAAGTTTTTTGCCCAATCAACATCAGCAAAAGGCATGGAGATGAAGAAAAGTGTGTTTGTGGAGAAAGATGCCATGATTAAGGGTCTCTTTAAGATACCACAAAATTCATTTAACCGTAGATCAATGCATAGCAAAATGCTAGTATATGTATTGAGATAATTTATTAAATGCAAATGAGAAATCTGGACGGGTGAGAGCTAAGTACTGTAAGGAGCTAAGTACTTGTTGATATTGAGTTGAGTTTGTAGTAGGGCTGCCATCACATAATTTTAGTGATTCACTAGTAGAGAGAGGAGTTACAACCTTTTTTGCATCATGTATATTTGTCTTGGATAATAAGTCTTGAATATACTTTCTTTGTGATAGGAGGAGACCTAAGGATGTAAATGTTACTTCCACTCCCAAAAAGTAACTCAAGGGTCCTAAATCTTTGAGGGAGAAACGATCAGCCAATTGCTTTAAAAATATCTGAATCTCCAAGGGTGATTTACTTGTGACAATAATATCATCTACAAACACTAGAAGATATATTTTATTTCCATTTTGTTGTCATAGGAATAAATGTCGGGACATCTTTGGGGGCGACATCACATGCGTAGCGGAAGAACAGAAAACATAATCCCCTATTTCCAAATAGATGTTCATCATCATGCAAAGATTGGTGTGCAAAATTTATGAAATAGAAAACTGCGTATAGTAAAGATTGTGTTACTTAGGGAGATCGTATATCCCTAAATCCTTACAGATATATAGGAGAGGGTGAAGGAGGTCAAGCACCCTCCTCTCTAGTGGTGATCCACACAGCAGAGCTGCGATGATGCTCTTCAAAATTCCAGGCCTGCTCTGAGGTGAAGAGAGGGAGAAGAATAAGAGAGGCAAGCAAAAGCTCTAGCCTATGGACCACTGAATCCCTCCTATTTATAGAGGTCCCCTATCAACTTAACTCTAATGGATCCTCCCCTATTAGGTATTGCATCTTCATCTAACTGCCTAAGCCTCTCAGATTAGAGGATCTCTATCTAATAATCTCTATTAAGCTTTTATTGGATCTCGTCCAAGGGATCTAATAATTCAGGGGCTTATTGGATATCTAATAAGATAGGGGCTCCGGTGGATATATCATATCCGAACCTCTACTTATCGCAACGCCTACCATATGTGTGTGACCCTTTAGGCCCAATATCAAGCTAGCCATGAGTCATATATGTCAGAACTCCTTCTGGCTCAGTGAATTATTATCTCCATAATAATTCACTCGACTCATCGACTGCGGACATACTAGGCCACTACGCCGTAGTCCCTAGACGATACATGAGAATCCAATCTATTAGACCTGTCTATCCTCAGTTACCATGTACCTATAGTCCCTCAACCATCTAATATTCCAGAGACCGTATACTAGGTATGGTGCTATCAAACCCATACGGTTTCTACTCGAGTCTTGCTCTAATCGGATTCTCCCGGAGAACTCTTTCTCTCTCAATCCGAATGACCCTAGCCAGATATTTGTCTGAGCAAGAACACTTGGGATGTTCCTCTCATGACACCGAGAGTGGATGATCCTCTATCAACACTCAATAGCCCTCGTAAGGTTGATTGTCACTCCCAATGATCGGTTGTACTAGATATGAGACATTCAAACCTATAAGTCTAGTATCAAAGAATAGAGCACTCATACAGGATATCCTTGATGTCTCAAGCCTAAGGACCGGATACACATTGGGACTACGAAAACGCTGTCTGACAATAAGGTATTATCAACCATCCAGCATTCCGTAAGCGGATCAATCAGTGAACTCATTCTCCAATAAGCACCTGTAGTGTATCCCTAATGTCATTACACGAGCAGCTATGAGACCAACTGCATCCATCATATGGATGAGTATATAGCATACCAGTCTATCCGATTATCTCGATGTCCCTCTCGAGTAACCTATGACCGAGATTATTTAGGATTTGTGTTTAAAGACGAATCGATCTCATTATCATGATCTTATCATGATATGATTCCTATTACATAGATCTAAGGACATCACATTATATACATACATATATGTAATAGTCAATATAAAGTGATAAATGCCAAAATATAATAAGCAAAATGACTGCGTGTCAAGTCACACATGCCATCACTCACGTGATTGGCTTGTTGGGCACCTATGACTAGCAATAAAGAGGTATCAGACTTGGAGTTGATGAAGCCAGTTGATATAAAAAACGATCCAAGTTCAATATACTAAGCTCTTGGAGCTTGACGGAGTCTATAAATGGTTTTTTGTAGTTTGCAAACATGTCTCGGATACCGGTGATGAACGAAGGCAAGGGATTACTACATAAAGACATCTTCCGTTAGAGTCCCCTGTAAAAAGGTATTATTAACGTCCAATTGTCGTAAGTGACAGCCTTTGGAGATGGCCAAACTTAGAATAAGCCGAATTATTGTGAGTTTAACTACGGGGCTAAAAGTCTTTGTGAAGTCAACTCCAGGTTGTTGATGAAACCCTTTGGCTACTAAACGTGCTTTATATCTAGCAACAGACCCGTCTGAGTTCTACTTAATTCGAAAGACCCATTTACACCCAATGATGTTTTATGTATGATAAAAAGATACAAGAGTCCATATAGAGTTATGGAGCAGTGCATCATATTCTTCATACATGGCTTTACGCCAATGTGGAGATTTTTGAACTTGAGTAATTGTGGTAGGTTCACTAGTCTCAGGAGAGGATTATATGATAGCATGTAGGTCAAGAACTAGATGACAACAAGGAAGAGGGAGGCTTGGGCATTGGTAGGGTAGAATCCGAAGGCGAAGTTGTCGGAGGGAGAGAGCAAAGGGCTGGTCGATGAGCCAACCGTGAGGGTGGTGCCCTACGGGAGGGTTCTGGCAACCACGTCCACAAAGAGGGCCGCCCGATGGTGCGGTCGAGGTGGTTGATGCTGAGAGAGCTGTCGAGGCATGAGGAACATGCAAGATGAGAGGGAAAGGCTCCGCCAATGCTGTGGAGAACTTCTTGTGCAGATCCGACATTCTCAACATCAAACTCACCCTCGGAGTCTCTCCGTCACGTCACATGTCGAGCCCACAGGTGTAGCAGCAAGGAAGTGGCAGGCCTAGTCCAACGCGTGAAAGCCGAGCAGGTCGTAGTAGAGAAGACAACGCAGGAGTTGAAGGTGGAAGGTGGGAGGTGAGCGAAGCCTCGCTTGGGAATGTGGCTACAACGACGATGGTCGCTAGCCGGAAGCAAGGGCGAAACCTCTCTAAGTTGATTAGTGTAACTAAGAAATTTTGTATGAATGCTTAATGTTGGATTCCATTTGGTTGTACCAATATGTGTGAGTCATTGAACAGACGTTATGCTGCATTACAAACTAATAAAGATCTAAATTTACTTAGAACAGTTTTTTCAAGCTTGATGACCTTACTTATCTCTTTCTAAATTTTTCATATAAATAAAAAGATCTGGCACATCAGCAATCAAATATGCGACAAACAATTTAGCTGGTTCGCAAAATCAATGCATAAACAAAGGCAATCGATGGAGCACTTTGTCCCAAAATATATATTGATCATATAAAGTTTTCTGGATAAATCAAAACTCTAAAAGCATTAGGGGTTTCTTTTCATGCCTCGGCTTTTTCGAGACTTGCTTTAGCCCTCTGGATCTTCGGAAGTTTCTTCACAATATTCTGCTTTTCACCCAAAAAGGCTCGGATAATCTACAAATGCAACAGAGAATATATAATGAAGAATGAACAACAGGCAAACTGATATCAGCTAAGAAGCTGAGCTTAAGCAGCAAGCAACTAGAGTTGCCTAGGCTACGTGTTGAATGTCTTGTGTCTTATATAATCAAATTGTTTTGGTCCATTCCTGCCACATTATAAGAAAAAGTACTTAATACGGAGCTCATTCAGTCCCATCATATACTTCTAACTCTTTTTAACTTCACTCAAGTCTCCTGAATATGCTTGATGCCTTGAGATACGAAAGA